TGGGCACGGGCTCTCGGAAGCGTGGCGTCACCCTCGCGGGGGCACTGGCTGTGCTAGGTGGTGGGGCCACACTCATTGCTGCAGGAAGTCCTAGTTGACCCCGGAGCTTTCGAGAGAGAAGTCTGCAGGGAAAAGGGGGTGGAAATTCACTTTTATTTCCACCTCCTCCAACTTCCCCTGGACGATGAGAAGGTAGAGAAATGCCAAGCGACTCCTGGCATCGGTTGGTTTCATGCTCACAGGGCACCTGGCTTCTCCTTTTAGAGACCAGAGCCCGAGTTTCACAGGACAAACAGGAAAGGCGGCCACTGCTTTGGGGCCCAGAGCACAGATGTGACTGTCTGGGCAGAACCGCACCCAGTGGTGTGAGCCCTGGAGGCTGCCCTCCTACGGGGCTGCGTCCATCGGGGAGGGCGAGTTCCAGGGAGCAGCGTGGTCACCCCACCCAGAGGGGTGGCGGCCGCAGGGTGACCCCAGGCCCAGGCCTCCCTGTGAGCTGACATCTGGTGGCAGGAGGCAGGTCTGAGGCAGGGGGAAACTGTCCTCCAAGTTGACCCTTCGAAGAGCACAGGGAGGGAGGGACCTCGGGGGAGGAAACGCGTGACGGATGGACATGCACCCGTGGGTAGAACAGGGAGGTGAGGGCAAGTCAGGCCTCCGGCCTCCCTCTGTCCTCCACCTCCCGGCCTCCCTGCCTCCCGGCCTCCCTGCGCTCTCCACCTCCCTCTGCTCTCCGCTCTCCGCTCCCAGGAAGGGCCGCGTCCTGCCACCCACTCCTCTGCACCCAGACTGCTGCCACCCCCAGCTCAGGCCTCCTGGTCCTTCCCCCAGAGTGGAGCGGGGGCACTGCTCTCAGCATCCCCCAAGGGTTTTGGGATGTGCTTTTCGCTTCTGGTTTCTTTGGGTGGCACTAACAAGCCCTCATGGCCCCTTTGCCCCCCCTGCAGGCCTGTGAGTGGGACGCCCAGTGTGGGCCGGGCACCTGCTGCGCCGTCAGCCTGTGGCTCCAAGGCCTGCGGATGTGCACCCCGCTGGGGCAGGAGGGAGAGGCATGCCACCCCAGCAGCCACAAGGTATTGTACCCACTTGCTCAGGGCCCAGGGCCCGCGAGGCAGAGCCGGGACTGGGGCCACTCTCCCTACTAAGTGCTTTGTACAAGTTTAAGCCTCTTTCCACCATATGTGTTAGGCTGTTATGAACCCATTTTACAGATAATAAAGTTGAGGCACAGAGAGGCTAAATAACTCGCCAATTGTCACAAAGCTGGTGAGGGGCAGGCCTGGGATTCGAGCCAGGCAGTGTGACCCTCATCGCTCCTCTCCAACCCCCTGAGGGCCTCGGGGCTCAGCTCTGCTCTGGGGTGACCACAGGGCGGAGCGGTGTCAGCCCTGTCCAGCTGCGTCCCCAGGGCCCACCACTGTGGTGTGTGGTGGATGAATTATAAGTGACATTCCGTCGAGGTGTGTGTGTGTGTGTGTGTGTGCGCACACATGTGTGTGTATGTGTGTGTATGTGTGTGTGTGTGTGTATGTGTGTGTGAGCACCTGGGTGGGCCAGCGAGGGGACCGGTGCTGGCGGCTTGTGGGGTTTCAGGGTTGGGGGCGGACAGCCTTGTGCTGTGGCTGATCCATGGTCTCGGGAACCAGATTCCCTGGGTCCATCCTGGCCCCTCCACAGATGAGCTGTGTGATGGTGGCCCGTTGTGTAGCCACTCTGGGCCCCGCATCCTGCTCTCCGGGCTGTGACTGTGCTGGGGCGGGGGGGCCGGGACGCAGGCCGGGGCCGGGCCCAGCAGAGGCCCTGCCTGGAGGCCCGTGTCCCTGGGTGACAGTGTCATCCTTCCTCTCCTGTCCCCCCAGGTCCCCTTCTTCGGGAGACGCCAGCACCACGCCTGTCCCTGTCAGCCCGCCCTGCTGTGCTCCGGGCGCGGCCCCGGCAGGCACCGCTGCTCCGGGGACTTGAAGGACTTGCACTTCTAGGGGCTCGGCTGGTCTCCGGACACCACCCGGCTCCGGTCTCTTATGAACTTTTATTTTCTTTCTGCCACGTGACCCCCCAGCCCCCCACCGCTGCCTGTTAACACGCCCCACACCGCCTGCCTGCCTCCTCCGTCAGCACACACGGGCGCAGGCCGACACACGACCGGGCCATGGCCACGGGGCGGCCTGAGGGTGTCCCGCTGGGCCGTGGTCCCAGAGGCAGCCTGGCCGGTTCTCCGTCAGTCACGGGGCTGTCAGTCTCAGGAAGGCTGTCCTTTCCTTGTCCCGGCCTCGCCCTCTGCTCCCAGTGACGTGGCCTCCAGGGCCCTGCTCTCTCCTCCCTGCTTGCGCCTTCTGCCTGGTCCGGATGTCCGAGCACAGACCTGGGGAGTCACCGATCGGGGCCTGACTCTTGTCTAAAACAGCAGCCCCACTCAGCACCCACATCTGGACCCGGCCCGGGCTCCCTGGGGTCAGGGCGGTGGTACCAGCGGCTGGGCACCCTGGTGGGCCGGTTGCAGAATAAAAGCGTGGACAAGGGTGGGTGGCCGCGGTGCCTGCGATGCCTGTGTGGGACTTGGGAGTGGGACTGGGCTGTGTCCAGGTGGGACGGATGCCCTGCGCCTCCCGGAGCCAGGGCGGTTTCGTCGAGAAAGCGGATTCAGGTCTTTGAATGAGGAACGAGAGGTGGCTGCCTTCGAGCCGCAGAGGAGGCAGGGGTGCCCATGGGCGCTCTGACACCCTGCCCGTGGCTGCCCCGCTCCATCCCTGCCTGGGAGCTGCCAGAATGCAGACCCGCCACTGGGCCGAACCACCCGTGTAATCTAACTGGACCAATTCCCGCTTTTCATATCAGACGTTTGAGGAATGTATCATTGGTCTCTGCCCCAGTTCCCCTGGTTTTTCCTGAAGAACAAAGAGGGGGGCTGGGAGGCTAAGACAGGCTTATTTGTGTGAATTCTTCATATTCAGGAAAATATTCTTCATACATGTAGATGTAAAAAGATTCTACTTATACTAGTAAGTAGAATCCTATATAATCCTATATAATAAAAGGCTAATATGCAAATTAGTCAAGCTCTCAGAAGTTCGACCAACCGGGAGTTCAACCCCTTGCTATGATGTGCGCTGACCACCAGGGGGTGGTGCGGAATGAAAGAAGGCCCTAGCTGGCAGCCAGAAGGCCCCGATCGCCTCTGATCGGCCAGACCTAGGGACCCTAACTGCACATTCCCCTTGTGTACCGGGCCTCTAGTGTATCCATAATAAGAATGTATTTTAGAAGAAGTAGATTAGGATTGGGTGATGTAGACACCCCTCCAGATCTCCAGATGCAGACCTTTCAGGGGCAGCCCCCCCACATTCACCCCCTCTTTTCTTTTCAGTCACTGGAGTCTGGTGCCATCTGGTGGCTAACGTGGGGATGGCAAGAAAAGCTTAATTGGGAAAAAATGGAAGCTTCAGAAAGACACAACCTTCTCACAGACGATGGGGACCAGTCCCCAGGCACCCCCAAGAGTTAGACTCACTGAGAGGTTTAGAGGGGCAATGCTCCCACCTGCAGGAAGAGGGCTGACACCCTAAGACGCACAGGAGGGATGCTGACTGCCCCCCTGGGTCCAGCCCCACCCTAGATATTGCTAGAAGCCCTGTCCTCTTCCTGGGAGACTCTCTCCCCTTCCCCAGGATTAGGAGTGGGGGTGTGTGGGGGGAGTCAGAGAGGCCGACTGAGCCCCTCCCCCTCTATCTGTGTGCTGGTCCTTTGTTAGTGTCCCCCAGCCCCACCTGAGTATCCCAGTCTGAAGTTCAAGGGCAGCCTGGGTTTCTCTCTCTGCCCTTCTCCCTGAGCTCCATGTGAACTGGTCACCAAACTCTGTTTCTTTTTCCTTTCAAAAAAAGTCTTTATTGATTTAAAAAAATATTTTTATTGATTTCAGAGAGGAAGGTAGAGGGAGAGAGAGATAGAAACATCAATGATGAGAGAAAGTATCATTGACCGGCTGCCTCCTGCACACCCCCAACTGGGGATCAGCCCACAACCTGGGCATGTGCCCTTGACCAGAATTGAACCCAGGACCCTTCAGTCCACAGTCTGACACGCTATCCACTGAACCAAACCAGCTAGGGTTCTTTATTGATTTTAAAGAGAGGAAGGGAGAGCGACAGAGAGGTAGAAACATTGATGAGCGAGAAACATGGATGGGCTGCCTCCTGCACACCCCCTACTGGAGATGTGTCCACAAACAAGGTACATGCCCTTGACCAGAATTGAACCTGGGACCCTTCAGCCCACAGGCCGACACTCTATCCACTGAGCCAAACCGGTTTGGCCCGCTTACGTTTTTAAAAAAAA